TTTTTGGCCTCGAAAGTGGACCACGGTGAGATCGAGTTCGTGACTCGAAGGGCCAAAAGTCAATTGAGCAACTCGCCAGGTCTTCGCTATTTTTAACGACCACGTTCTCGGGAACATCTGTCCCCGATTCCTCAGGGCGCAATCCTGTCAAACAATCCGGCGATTCGCCGGATTACAGAGAGAGAGAGAGAGAGAGGCGGCGAACGACTTCGGGGGCTGCCGCTGGATGAAATACGAGACGGACATTTCTGCTCTAGAAACGCGAAAGCCTGGGAACGCGCCGACCAAGAATTCCTGCCGAGGAAGCCGAAACAAATATTTAGTGATATTAATAACGATTAAGTCAACTCTTCCCCCTACCACCTGATGCGGTGTACAAACTACCACCTGGATAATTGTGGATTTCCCCTGAGCCTAAAATTCATCTCGTTTTCAAAGATGACTCAAAACTTAGAGTAAACGTCAACTTTGTATGTTGTACTTATGCTTTGGTAAAATAATGAAATTAAGCAGTACTGCTCGAGGGGGGCAGGTTGCGGGGGCTCGCCTCGCATCTCTTGCGAGACGGATGCTGAGCCGCTGGACCACCTAGATCACGAGATGCAATCGTAATTGTATAATAACCCCGGTCAGCTAGCGGGTTATTTACGATCGGACTGCTCTGTCGGCGATGTCAATGCTGCCAGGCAAGATCGGAGCAGTCCGAATGCCTCGGCGCGACCTCGGGGTACGAGGGTACCAGGGGATACCAGGGGGTATCAGGGAGTTCCACCTGAACCTGGGTTATCGCGGTTTACACCGGTGCATCCTGTTGCGACGCCCATTTACCCGATCGAGATCTTAATGGTTTCTCCAGGCGACCCTTTGAGAGCGAGCCGTCCCGATCTCGCGAAACCGTCACTGATGCTTCACCCCGGTGTTCATTTTTTCCCCTTTTATTCCCAACCCCAGGGAATATCATAAAACAATTTCTGGATACAAGTCAAGTTCCTCTTGGAGTACAATATATAAAATTGTAATAAATTTAATAAAATTCCCAGGAATTTAGTCAGCATTTTTTTTTTGGTCGCAGGGCTTTTCGGAGCTTCAATTGGCGCTTGAGATTCGGCGGGTGTTTCGATGTGTCCGACTTTTGGGGGCTGGAAAAAAAAAATGGCGATCTTCGTGCGAGCGGACGGATCTCGTTACGGAGTCGCAGAAATTGAGAGCCCCGGCGGCGCAATCCGACGAATTGACCCGATCAGCTGTCCGATCGGCAGGTCGGATAAGACTGGCTCTGCTCGGATAACTAGTCAGATACGTAGCCAGGGTTAAGAGGGTGGATTAAATCTGCGGATATCTGCCTCGGTGGAGATTCGCTCCGCTCGGTTCTCCGAATCGTGCGATCTCACCTACTTACCCTTATCCGCGAAATACATCTTTATCGAGTGTGGAAAAAAAAACAAAAAGTGGAGCTCGGCTAGTTGGCTCCATTCATAAACGCCTAACTGTGTTGAGTAACTCCGAGTTTAGATAATAACACGCCTTAAACTCGGCCCGCACGCAAGTACTCGTGGCGCAAATGAACACATCGCGCGGCGTAACAGGTACTTCTGGATTAATTAAAACCTCGCTCCGAAGTAACTGCTCGGCCGACTTCAAATGGCGCTGCCATTTTGCCTTGGACCTGTAAAACGATAGTAACTCCCCGTGTATAAAGTTCAGCAGCCTTAAGCACCTTTAAAGAATTAATCCAAAAAACCCTGGACATTGTAGGTGCACGAGGTACTTCGGTTCCAGACTCCCCCGCACTTCCACTGAAAGGGTCTGGAGATAGGGTCTGGTTCCTCGAGTCTCCCAACCCGTTCCTTCGGGACCCGGTTGGTCCTCACGGGGGGAGTTGAAAAATTCCTGGTGCTAAAAAATGGGCAGCATGTGCACGGCCGACAGGCTCCAAGAGGTGTCCGGATCCCGGAGAATACATCCAGAGCCTCTTCTTGTCACCCAAAGCGACGTCGCGTCTCCGACATCGCCCAGCATCCCGATGTTCCGGCTCTTAATAGAACGGCTCACGGTGCACGTCTTGTCTGCCGTCCCCTCTTCTGGCCCCGGAAAGTCATCGCTGACTGACTGACTGACTCGTGGAGTGACTGACGCGTGACCGGGGATGCCCCCGGTACCAAAGGCGACACCTCCACCGTGGATAATGGATATCCCCGATCGGCGATCCGACCAAGATGTCCTCCGGGTCGTATTTCGGTACGCGACCCCCGACCTCCCCCTTGACTCGACCAAACGGACTATTTTGGCCCCGTTGAAGAGGGACGTCTAGCTGACGGCAGCCCACCAGTGATTCGACTTGCGTCCTGGTGCGCGATTCGCTTTTAACCGCGACTTGTCCCTCGTTTTCCAGAGCGCCGATCCCGGTCCATTGAGAGAGGACGTATTTTTAGGAGAGATGCGCACCCGGGACCCCGATTAGTCAGGCTCGCGGGACGAGCTCGAGATTTTGTCGCCCTGGACCCCGAGGGGTCCCGGATCGATGCCAACCTGACGAGGGATTGATGAGAGGTCCACGACTCTCTGCGGCGTCCCGCGTTCTCCAAGATGTCCGCTCGCCGGGAGAAATCCGCGACCTCCGACTTCGGGCTTGACTAATGGTCATTATTCGAGATACCAGGAGATAGGCCTGCGAGATCATCTCTTAGCTTGCTCTATTTTTCAATTTTTTTTTTATTATTATGGAGAGGGTACCATAAATTGTCTCCGTGATTTTTCGTCATCTTCGGGATTGAAGAGATCAGGAAGGTGATGGGGGTGTATAAAATAGGGTGGAACGTTTCGCGGTCCATGACCAAGTTGGTTCTGGATGTCGGAGCCTGTAATCTTGGAAATATTAGAAATACGTGGAAAATGGTGGGGATTAGTTCTGGATGTATCAATTCTTCCTGGGCTCCGTTTTTCGGAGCCAGGCGAGGCTGGACCGGAAGATCGAATTCCTCAATTATGTCCCAGCTCCCCCCTGGGTGAGGAACGTCTCGAAAACGCGGGACGAGCTCGTTCGCCGACGTTCTGCTCCGTGTATCGACGTCTCCGGTGCCGGACAATTAATCACGATAACATCGTGGATCGCCGACGATACGGCCCCGAAATCGATAGGTATCGCGCCGACGTTTGCACGGCACGCTTGAGCCGGGGGACGCGTAATGAGAGGAGAAGGCCGACAAAAGTGCGGATCCATGAAAGAGTCCCTACGAGAATGATAACGGAGTCGTTTAGACCGACCCGTAACGAGGAATAACGCGATCTGGAAATGATTACAGGTCTTTCGCACCTGGTAATCCCGAGACAAGGGGGTGCAGCGGGAAAAACGCGGACTCGCCGAAAATCCAGCAACGAGGGGGACTATTTGTTAGATCGTTAAAATCCGCGCCAGTGACCTGCTACGTCGGGAGGAAAGTGATAACGCAGTCCGGTAATTAAGCCGGGATGTCTCTTTGGACAGTCGGTGCTCCCCGGTTCGGTGTTCACCGTTCATTGTCCAGTGGTCCACCCTTTGGGGTCCAGTCGGTGGGATTTACACGTGTCCCCTTTGCGTTTCTCCCCCTTCGTCGACGTCTTTTTCACTCCATCCCTCCGTTCCGACCCATTCCCCACCGACTCGGCGGACTATTAATAGCGCATTCATTATTGCCGCAAATGAGCCGCCTCTTCAATATCCGCATTCGCAGGGAGGCCCCTCACCTGGAGGGCGTAGGAGGGCCTCTTGGTCCCGACACCTGTTCAACGAGCGCCGATGTCTGCGGGGAGGGTACCTCGCGTCCTCGGTTCCCTGAGGAGTCGTTTTCCGTGATAATGGATCTTATCAAAATGAACCTCCCCAGCGCGCCGATCGATGTACCAACTTTTTGACACCTCGTCGACAAGTATCGTCGTATCTACCGGGATCTCGAATTCCGTTTCGGTGGAGGGGCCCCAGTATCCGATGGGCCCATCCCCTCTTCGGGGTGGCTCCCTAGGCGGGAACTCGACGTAATAGCCGCGGTGTCGTAATAATAGCGTTGCGAAATTATTTATGGCCGAGGCGTGTTAAGCAAATAGGTAAAACAGCTGCCAAGTGACCAGCCCGCGAACCAGTAGCAACGTCGCGGGCATTACCCGTGACTCGTTGAAATAATTAACGAGGTCGTCACGCATTGGCTGACCGGCAGCCTGAGTACCCGGCCTGTCCCGTAATACTCATCCCTGTGTTCCCTTCGTCCTCCCTCTTCCGTCGACCAGCCGATCGTCCCGACCGATTGGCGCCTCCACTTCCGGCTTGCGAAACGGCGTTCTCCACTTCTTCGGTGGAGAACGCCGCCTCTATCGGAGACCGGCCAATAACTCACGCCCGCCTCGGGATCGTTAACGGTGTCGTCCACGCCAGCTCGATAGATTTACGAAACAACGAGAACCAGGAATTACGACGTTCGGCCACGTAGACTACCGTGCCGGTCTTTCGGAGTCCTGGGACAAATCGGTTACCGTTCGGCTCTTCATCTCGAGAATTATTCCCGGATTAATCGTCCACGACGTCGGTGAGGCGACGAGTACAACGTTTCGACTGGATTTTCCCATAAACGGATAAATTCCCATTTTTCATACGTAATCCGGCATTTCATTAAATCCCCAGGCATCGACAATATTCGAAGGAATGGAAAAGGAGGCTCTGTTTCTTTTTTTTTCTTTCTTTTCTCATTCTTTCCTTTTTAAGAGAGACCTTTACATTTTTATACAATGATTTATAGTAATTCGATAGCGATAATCGCCGAAGGTGGAGCGACGTCGAGTCGCGAGTGTAATGAAAGCGGAATTGTTTGGAATTGTTTTATCCTCTAGTTCTTCGTATAATAGATTCGCTGCGAATCTTCGCGGAATTGTCGACTCGAGTCGAAACTCGAGTTGGCAGAGCTCTCGAAATTCGGAGCGCACTCGACGTGAGTACTTGGGTCTAACTCTCGGTTCCCGTTTCCTGGTTTCAGGTACCGTCAACGCCAACGGCGAGACCAAGCGACAGAGGACCTCGTACACGAGGTACCAGACTCTGGAGCTGGAAAAGGAGTTCCACTTCAATCGGTACTTGACGAGGCGGCGACGCATCGAGATCGCCCACGCACTCTGCCTGACCGAGAGGCAGATCAAGATCTGGTTCCAGAACCGGCGGATGAAGTGGAAGAAGGAGCACAAGATGGCCAGCATGAACATCGTGCCCTACCACATGTCGCCGTATGGCCACCCTTACCAGTTCGCGCCGCACCCTGGCCAGTTCGCGCATTTGGCCACATAGGACGAGTTCTCGCCCGCCGAGCTCGGAGCACACGCAGTCCGGTTCCCCGGGATGTACGGCGAGCAGAACTTCTAGGCTACTTCGAACCGTCTCGAGCCGATTCGAGCCGATTCCGATCGGTCCCCAGGACCCCGCCAGAAGGATCCTGGCGGACTCGAGGACGAGAACGAAGCATTTCGTCGACACTTCGGGCCGATCCGCGAAATAGGGATCCAATGATCCGCAAGATAGGACCTAACAATCGTCCGGAACTGCCGAAGAGCTCGCCGACGTCCTCGACACGCATTAACTGTGCTGGAGACCTTGACGCTCTTCGGCTCTTCTTGGCTGGATCTTCAAGATCTCCTTGGCTTTTGAAGTGACCAGACGAGCCCGAGGTGGCGACGAAGTGCGAGCTCTTCTCAAGCGAGCATTCGAAGCTGAAGCCGAAATTTCTGCGAAGTGAGCCGTGCGCCCGACGTGAAAGAAAGAGACTGGACGCGCTCCGAGGGGCCTGCCACAATTACAAACGATAAATTAAAAATCCGTGGCCAAGCCTTCTCGGCGGACGAGATGATCGAATACCCCTAGAGTAAGTGTAGCGACTAGCGACCTAAACTAAAACCGTAAATTAATTGCCGTTATTTCTCTAGCTCTGCGCGCCGTTTCCCGCGTCGACTTCCACCGGAGGTGCGAGGACTCCTCGTGATCGGTGAAATGTCTCACCCGATTCCCTATTCTCCTGGATCTCTGGTTAAGGACGCCGAGAGGCTCCTCCCAGGTGAGGTCCACGTAGAAACGTGAATTCGATCCCGGAAACCTATTATGTCCTCCCTTAGTTGCATAAGAGACCTGCTAATGCTCAAAGTGTACTTGACTGTGGCTCGCCGAGTTCCGGTGGGTTTCCAAAAGAAAAGAATATTTCTAAATCATCTTTTCCTAGGAATTATCAAATCTCTGGTACGACAGACGGAGGAAGGTGACGTTCTCCATTGATACAATTTATTTCTGGACCTCTGAGTTTTTGGCTTCGGAGTCAGAGATGAATGGCGAACGATATCCGTCGAGGTTCGAGACGGAGTCACTTCTTCTTTTTGTTATTGTTATATTCTTTCTCGCCGCGCTATTCGCGAATTGCGGAAACCCCTTGGCAACTCAGCTGACGGAACATCGTCGTTCGGGTCGTTTGACATCTCCCGCACTCGGACGCGCAAAGTTCGGAATAGCGATCTCGTGAATTCCTCTCTCAAGGACAGGGAGATATTAATTGTGTCTGGGCAAAAATCAGAAATGCCATTTACCGCAACAATTGCAACTAAATAATTCCTCCGACACCTCGCGAAGGTACTCTAAATAAATTCTTTTTCCACGTTAATTGTCCGAAGTTACATAACCTCCAGACGCAATGATCTCACCAAACACGCGGACGAGCTTTTCCGAAATTTGCAACCACCGCCAAGACGAGCTACCGAGTCCCCGGAAGCTCTCTGTAAATAGTGTGCACCTCGCGTCGTAACCCGAGGTCTCCCCAGGAGTGCACCGTTAAAAATAACTGGCTCTGATTAAAAGGACATACCGATAGCGATTACCCCTCCCGAGGTCTATATCGCTGCAGAATCAATTACCGAAGTCCCTGGAAAAGTATCTCGAGGGCGCGAAATTCCTGGAAAAATATTCCGGCGGTGCAGAAATGCCCGGGCTAATTTTTCCAGAAATTTAAAGGATGCTGAACGAGCAGGAGAGGGTCTGTTCAGGACCCTTGCGATAAGTGCTGTCTCCATGCGAGGCGAATTAAGGTGGGCGGTTATTTTTAACAGGTCGTCTATACCTGGCGTAGGTGCAGGTGTATTTGTGCGCATAATTGGTTAATAAATTCGGCAGCAAATCGCCCGTTAGCTGGTAAATGGGCCGCAGTTGTGTAAATTAGCTGGCGAGGTGGGGCGCGCATGCGCGGCCCTCTCTCGTGTAATTGGATATATTTCTTGTGATACGGAAAAGAGCCGTCGCGACGCCGGGTTCAGTTTTGACGAGGTTGTGCGACACGAGGAAGCAAATTCGGAGGCATACAGGGATATCCAAGTATATACATATATAAATATATATATTACGTGTAACGAGGAGCCGAACGAACGGGGAGGTGCGGAGGTTTTAACGAGATGTCGCGAATTGTACATACATATGATTATCGGGTATACGAGAGCGCGATTATATATGCCATGTTATATATTGTACGAGGCGTTTCGGAAACGACGGAGGTCCGTGGCCTCCTCGGAGATTCCTGGTGAATTCCGAGCGGCGTGTGCACTCGGAAACGCGAATAATCCGATTACGGGGAGGGAAATATGTACTTACCGCGCGTACTTACGAGGAGATTACCCCGGGAAATTTGAAAGTGCAGGAGCGTGGTAACGCTTTGCCCGTCGCGCGGGATAAGTTCGCGTTTATCTTTAGCCCTCTATAAAATCCCCGCAGAAAATTTCCGACTGTTGTTCGCAATGCTTAGATACTTCGCAAGGGTATTATTCAGCGTATTCAGAGATACTTGTGACTTTTTACACGGTGGAGAACAACCCAGTCTGCGATTCCTCGTTTTGCACGTTAAGTTAATCCAAGCCGCGAACCGGTGTGCATTTTGCGACCGGCTGCAACTTGTACAGTGTTAATTAATTAACGTTAACGACGGGGACATTTCCGCGTTGGTAAGATGCCGAAGAGAGTCGCGGAACGCCTCGGTTCTCCGTTTCATGCACCCAGGGAACACGTCGAAATGATATGCACTTTTGATATGCAGTCAAGCCGAGCGGTTTGCAACGCAACGAAGCGTCGATTTCCGCGGCCGGGAAAATCGCAGAAGTGAACCGTGGGATGCGGAAATCTCCGATTTTGGGCCCCGCAGAGTCGGCCAGAGTTCCGCTGCGTTCTTCAAGATCGGGATCTTCTACTTCTGCGGATTTTGCAAATCGAGTCCATTTTCTCGACCTCTCTATCCCGGGGATTATTTCATTCTCCGTTGTTCAACACACGCGGGGAGGGAATTTCTTTTTTTTTTTAATTCGTAATCAAAATATATATCATGTCCTGATATATTTCGATTATCACACAATGTTATCCTTCTCCTGCAGGTGTAAAAACATTTTGTTTCAATCCAGTCCCTTTATCCAATTTTCCTCCCCTTGAAGATAAGCAACGCGAGGAGCGAGCGAGCGAATCTCTTGGAAACATACGAGGGCGTCTTGACCTACTGAGATTATTTATATTAAATATCGTTATATCGACCCCCCCCCCCTGCAGGTCGATACATCCGATATTCGCGTAAAGATAGACTGATTCCTCGTCCCTCGTGGAACCCCCGCGTCCTGAGACGAAGAGAAATACTCCCACGAGATGATAACGCGTATTCGGTGAGGAAGTTCTTTCTTCGACGCCTGGTACCGTAGACGTATTTAAACGATCCAATAGTAACGACTATTACTATTATTATTATAAATATAAATATATATAGAAAAAATATATATATACAGAGTGATTATGTTGCTAACGACTTGGTCCAGTGTTAATATTGTATTTTATTTGTTTCGTTATGAAGTTTTCCTTTTTTCCTCTGTCTCTCTTTCTCTCTCTGTCTCTCTCTCTCTGTCTCTCTCTTTGTTGTTCACGCCGCGTGTCGGTAAAACACGCTCCGTACCTACGAACGTGCATAATGAATTACGTGAGGTCATGCTCGTACATCTGTCGCGAGGTCAGCGCACTTTAATCGGCCATATTTCAAAGCTTCGAAGAAAGAACCAGTTTATGAGCCTCTCTTATCGGTTGTTTGTTCATTTCACGTAAAAAAAAATAAATAAATAAATTTAGAGACTGAATTTACCCCTTGTCGCGATAGGTGTACGAGACGCGACCTACGGCCTAAGTTAAGCTAAAGTATTACGTCCGCGTAGCGTTTTCAAATGTTACTTCATTCCATGTAATATACGTAATAGTCTAACTAAATACCTACTTACTGCATCTACGTATCCTAGAGCACCGTACCGTGTAAGGCCATATAATTATATAATTTAAATTGTAATTATTAAATGGTATGCCGTAAAGAAAGGGACGTTGTCATTGCCTGGACCATCCGCGCCGACATTGCAGTGATAATTTATCCTCGGATAGTGAACGATAAAAATTATTCAATATTTTTCCATGGATTTTGAAATTACGGGGAAATTATTTCCAAGTGATTTTGTGGGGAACTCGATTTTAGGCTACTTGGGTTGTAAATTTCCTTGCGGGAGGGGGATTATCATTCGTCGAATGGCTGGAGGGTTCGGCCGATTTTGTTATCACTTGTAAAGTGGAAAGTAAAGGGGCTCGGTTGTGCAATTTTTCAATGACGTCGGGAAATTATCTGGCAATACGTGGAACACTCCGATGGAGGCGCGCAATAACAAGTCCAATTTGCTCGGACAGACTCGTGTTTTTTTTTCTGTAACGAGCTCCGGAATTATCGTTTGAAGATTCATCCGTCGGAAGAAGTCCCGCGTTATCGGTTACGAATTGATTATCAGCGGTTGGGCGCAAGGAATCTGTGGAGAGTCCGTCTCTATACGAGAAAGGAATCGTATTAATAGAACCGCGTCACCCCACCTTCTAGATCCCCGATTATCGTGTCGGATGAATTCTTTGCGGCCTAATTGAATGTCAACGGTTAATGAACACATTAACACGAACACTCGCAACCGGCGGTCTAATAAACACTCGGGAGCTCCGATTAACCCGCGATTTTTGACACTTTATAAATCCACGAGGGGTCTCCCATGGAGTGACGCTGGAATGATCGGAAATAAATTCTTTAAAGAAAAAAAAAAAAAAATCATCCGCATCCACGGATAACTCGAAGCGATCTGAAAACATGGGAGACGCAAAACCCATCCATGGACCTTCCTTTTGCACCAGGAGGCCAGCCTCCAGAATGCAGATGCGCGGATGCTGCGCGCGATCTCCGCATCTCGGGGCGCTCTCTTGCATGCGCTCTCGCGGATGCAGTTCTGTCGGGTGCAGTGGAGCATGGACGCACACGGAGGATCCTACATTAATCCCGATCGCTCCCTGGATCATCCTATATTTGGTGCCCTCGGGGGCGCGACAGGATCGCGCTTCAGCATACGAGATCTTGCAGATTGAGACTTCTGCAGAGATCCGCCACGGGGAAACCGGGGTACGGTGCACGTGAGATGCATCCACCGGTGCCCGAAATCTAAGGAAAACTCGAAAATCAACTTAGCAATAGAGCGAGCTGACTCTTTAATTTCCAATTTATCCCTTAAATTTCGCTCTTTCTTCTTCCAAAACCCGCAGGACCCCAGAGTCTCGTGACTTCTACACCTGACTCGGAGTCCCGTCACCCCTCAGGGTTGCTTTCGGTGTCGGCGCACCGATAAGATCGCGTGACATCCCCGGGAGGTCGTCCCCTTGTAGAAGAAGTCAGAAGTCGAGATGCATTTCCTCTCGATAGGGTGACATCGCGAGAGGGTCGATCGGAGGGACGCCGCGATCGCAAGTTACGATCCACCCGCGATCTCGTCCATGCTACCGAGGATGATCTGGCTCTTCTGGCCTTCCTGGAGCTCCTGACAAGCGTGACGGGATCGCTTCTATGGCGGTACCGACTCTAAAATCGGGCGCCATGCCGAAACCGGCGCCTCCCGATCGGCCATCGAACGCTTCGGTGATCGAATGATCGAGGGGACCCTCGATGACGAGCGACTCTCGATTAGGGTCGGACACTCTTTGCGACTCGACAAAACGGCCCTCCACCTCGAGATGCTCCTCTTCCGCCATTCCTTCCGTCCCCTTTTTATCAGGGATAAATCCTCCAATGAATTGAGCACTAGAAATAATAACAGGTGAAAACGCCTAAATATAAAAGCGCCCCATTGCATGATTCTCCTGAAATACTAAACTAAAGACTATTACCAAAGAACCCTTTAAAATTAGCCGCTGAAGATATGTCTTTACCATAAAAATTCCGTGGAAATTTTATTTTATACTCGGCATGCAAAAGACCTGGAATCATGTGCTAGGTCAAGTTTAGGGGCAGCAGTGAATTTAAATTTATGAATTTTGTGGGGGATTTAAAATTTAAAATCAGGTTTTTTAGGAGGTGGGGCATGAAGTGGGATCTTTTTTTTCTCATCTTCGGGGCCTGGATTTCCTGGTCCCCTGCCTGGTCCTGAGTGGGGTCACGATCTGAAAATTCCCAGGGACGCGTTTCTTTCGAATATGGAGATTAATCGCGAGTGGGACCCGGACTGTGTCCCAGTAAATCATGGGGATTTTAGGCGCGGGATTCCGAGACGGAGTCCCGCCTTTACGGGACTAGGTGCTAAGGTCGAAAACCATCCTGGAGGATGCCGGCCACCAGGCCGGGGCTACCAGCGATCATAGGATACTCGGACTGGCCGAAAGATACACGATCTCGAGTTATTTACGAGGCGGATGTTCCAGGATATCCCGCGTGGCTCGCCGGTGCTCAGATTTAACGCGTAATGCTCCACGCGAAATTCCATAAATATTATTCTTTATTAATTACCGTCAGGTGGGAACGCCACGGCCTTTGCGCCGCGCCGTCGCCACGTCCAGGGTCCCTAGGAGACCAATCAACGAGAAATACCCCAGAATCGCCGTCTCCCTCTATTCTGCTCCAACCAACTGTCCACCGTCACCGATCTACAAGGTTCGTAAATTCGACATAAAATCACGTAAAATCCGTCGAACACTCTGATCGGAAATCATTCGTTTCTTTTTTTTTTTCAGGTTGAGAAATATATCCCAGAGGAAGGTACCTAGGCGGGGATGCGTTGGGGTCTGCCTGGGGAGGTGAGAAATTTCTTGAAGAGCCGTTTGCGGGGAATCTTGGCAGATCTGCGAGCGCGTTTAAAGCAGGCGAGGCTGATACGGGCGCCGATGCGCTCGGAGTGAGAGGCAACGATGCGCGGGCAGTGCGGCAGAGAGAGAGGACCGAGTCCCGCATCAACGTCACGGTGCGAACACTGTAGGTATATAATACCTCTCGCCTGCCGTCACTCACTCGCTCAGTCATTGATACCGCGGGGTGATTAATGAAGAGTCAAGGTTCGAGATCGCAGTGCCGACTTTCGAGAGGGACGTCGGGCCCTGAGCCCGCGACATCGCGAGGAATGTCGATGCCCGCTCGGCGGACTCGAACCTCCTAAAGTATTGCCAATTGTCTGCAGCTGCGAACCGCGAGGAAGAGGGAACCGCGGACGTGCCGATTGGCTGACGAGTGCACCGACTTGGATGCACTCGCATGCACTATTAACGTGAAAAATATCCCGTTGAAATTATAGACTCGCACGTGCGAGCGCGCTACCTACGTCAATGGTCACTCCACGGCCTAAATTAATGTTTGCACTTCCTTGAAACTAATTAATTATAGGACTTTCCAGGAATCCCAAACATTGACACGCTCTGGAGTATGGATTAATGAAGAGATGCTCGAGAGACAGGATTTTTCAATTCATCCTCCCCAATTATCTATCTTCGTGGATTGAGGTCGAGATTTGGTGAATCAACCCGACATGATGATTATTTATTTCCGTGGAATTAATCATTTCGAGGATTCTGCGGGGTACCTCAAAATTGGCGCATTTCAGAATTTGGGATGATAGAGGCGGAGCACTTTTCCCTTTAATTTTCGTAAGTATTTAGTTTGATTAAATGGTGGTCGTGAAGGCATGATGGACACTTAGGGTACCCCGAAGTGATTCCACGTGGTGTCGAGTACGCCGGTCTTTGTTAAGTATTTTTCATAATTTTTTTCTCAAGCCGCGGATGCATCTTTAGGAAGTCGGCGGGCGCGTCGAGAGACAGCGAGATACGTAAATGCGAGTAAACGTCCATCCGAGGAAACGAAGGCCGGCAGGGCGAGGGGAACCGGGAACCGGGAACCGGGATCAAGGAACAGGACTCGGCGGTCCATCCGCGTCGGTCCGGTTCCGTCCATCTCCTCGCGTCGTCCGCAAACGGAGCGGAGCAAGACTTCACCACTTTTATGTACGGAGTCTGAATAACAAATCTGTCCAATTCACATGTCGACATCAAAGAAGATAATATAAACACTACATCGATACATCGTCTACAAAACCTTAATGTTTTATTAATGCGGCCTCCATCTCGGGCCGTTCCGCAGCGGCCCGTTCCGTGCGGTTCCCCGGGATCGGCCTGGAACCGCGCCCGGTTACGGGACGAGTTCGAGTTACGCCTAGTGGAGGGTTTCGCATTTCGGGAACACCCCGTAATTCGGGGTCTTGACTCTACTATTTGTCTCGCCAACTCTCCTCGCCGCAAAGAGGTTGCTATTTATTCCGATTGCTCCCTCGGTGCATCCATGGGACGTTGCAGGTGACGTCCGAGGTGCATCGTGTAAGATGATCCTAAAATCATGGCACGATACCGGTGGAGTAATCCGCACTTTTCGAGACGTAAATGTTGTATGAGAATTATCAAATTGGACCCAGTAAAATGGAAAGCTCGAATTGCAGATGCAGATGACGTCGAGGTCTTATCTTTTCTCGCGGGACGCAATGAATTTTGGAAGCAGTAAAAGGAAAAGCCCAAATTGCAGACGGATTTGACGTCGAGGTCTCACCTTCTCGGTGGGACGCTACGAAATGAACGACGAGAGGCCGACGTTACGCAGAAAATGCGTAAGCCGTAAGTCGTAATAGCATGCAGGAATGCAGGCAAGCCAACGAAGCCAGGGTGTAGGTACGCGCTGCAGGGAGGTTTGAAATCAAGAGAGGAAGGAGCCTCTCTCGGTTCTTTAGCTGAGAGCGAAGGCTGAGTCCTGCTGAGTGACAGCCTCGCCACGTACGCGAGTCCGCAACAAAGGGGGTCGCGATAGCCATATGCAAATCGCCGATATTCCGAACTATCTCTCCGAGCTGACCCATCCTGTCGCGATACGGAAACCTAGCTGCACGTCCCTGACGAGAAATGGACGACCCAGAAGGATTTCACCGTGCTTCCTAGAAGTTGCGCCACGGAAATTCGATCGTCTCGAATGTGGAACTCGACTGGAACC